AAGTAGGGCCAAGGAGAACGGAAACGCTCATTTCTCAAAAAGTAGAGGGAATCTAGCGGTCTCACTCTATCAGAAGGTGGGAAATATATAAATCTAATGAGCTAATAAGGTTCGAAAGGAATCTAATGCATATGTATATGGAAAATGGTGCATTGGCCAGGTCGGTCAGTATGGGAACTTAGAGTGCAAATGCCAGGGAGAACGGAAGCGCACAGATCTCGCATAGTACACGGAATCTAGTAGCCTCACTCAAATAGAAGGTAGGAAATAAATTCATCTAGTGAACGTAAGGGTTTGAAAGGTAACTAGCGCACATGTGTAGAGAAAATGGTGCATCGGCCAATCTGGCCGGCATTTCGCACTTATAGTGCAAGTAGGGCCAAGGAGAACGGAATTGCTCATTTCTCAAAAAGTAGAGGGAATCTAGCGGTCTCACTCGATCAGAAGGTGGGAAATATATAAATCTAGTAAGCTAATAAGGTTTGAAAGGAATCTAATGCATATGTATATGGAAAATGGTGCATTGGCCAGGTCGGTCAGTATGGGAGCTTAGAGTGCAAATGCTTGGGAGAACGGAAGCGCTCAGATCTCGCATAGTACACGGAATCTAGTAGCCTCACTCAAATAGATGGTAGGAAATAAATTCATCTAGTGAACGTAAGGGTTTGAAAGGTAACTAACGCACATGTGTAGAGAAAATGGTGCATCGGCCAATCTGGCCGGCATTTCGCACTTATAGTGCAAGTTGGGCCAAGGAGAACGCAATTGCTCATTTCTCAAAAAGTAGAGGGAATCTAGCGGTCTCACTCGATCAGAAGGTGGGAAATATATAAATCTAGTAAGCTAATAAGGTTTGAAAGGAATCTAATGCATATGTATATGGAAAATGGTGCATTGGCCAGGTCGGTCAAGATGGGAGCTTAGAGTGCAAATGCTTGGGAGAACGGAAGCGCTCAGATCTCGCATAGTACACGCAATCTAGTAGCCTCACTCAAATAGAAGGTAGGAAATAAATTTATCTAGAGAACGTAAGGGTTTGAAAGGTAACTAACGCATATGAGTAGAGAAAATGGTGCATCGGCCAGTCTGGCCGGCATTTCGCACTTATAGTGCAAGTAGGGCCAAGGAGAACGGAAACGCTCATTTCTCAAAAAGTAAAGGGAATCTAGCGGTCTCACTCGATCAGAAGGTGGAAAATATATTTATCGTGAGCTAATAAGGTTCGAAAGGAATCTAATGCATATATATATGGAAAATGGTGCATTGGCCAGGTCGGTCAGTATGGGAACTTAGAGTGCAAATGCCAGGGAGAACGGAAGCGCTCAGGTCTCGCATAGTACACGGAATCTAGTGGTCTCACTCAAATAGAAGGTAGGAAATAAATTCATCTAGTGGACGTAAGGGTTTGAAAAGTAACTAACGCACATGTGTAGAGAAAATGGAGCATCGGCCAGTCTGGCCGGCATTTCGCACTTATAGTGCAAGTAGGGCCAAGGAGAACGGAAACGCTCATTTCTCAAAAAGTAAAGGGAATCTAGCACTCTCACTCGATCAGAAGGTGGGAAATATATAACTCTAGTGAGCTTATAAGGTTCGAAAGGAATCTAATGTATATGTATATGGAAAATGGTGCATTGGCCAGGTCGGTCAGTATGAGAACTTAAAGTGCAAATGCCTGGGTGAACGGAACCGCTCAGATCTCGCATAATACACGGAATCTAGTGGTCTCACTCAAATATAAGGTAGGAAATATATTCATCTAGTGAACGTAAGGGTTTGAAAGGTAACTAACGCACATGTGTAGAGAAAATGGTGCATCGGCCAGTCTGGCCGGCATTTCGCACTCATAGTGCAGGTGGGGCCAGGGAGAACGGAAACGCTCGTTTCTCAAAAAGTAGAGGGAATCTAATGGTCTCAGTCGATCAGAAGGTGGGAAATATATAAATCTAGTCAGCTAAAAAGATTTGAAATATATTCAACGCACATGTATAGAGAAAATGGTGCATTGGCCAGGTCGGTCAGTATCGGAACTTAAAATGCAAATGCCAGGGAGAACAGAAGCGCTCAGATCTCGCATAGTACATGGAATCAAGTGGTCTCACTCAAATAGAAAGTACGAAATATATTCATCTAGTGAACGTAAGGGTTTGAAAGGTAACTAACGCACATGTGTAGAGAAAATGGTGCGTCGGCCTGTCTGGCCGGCATTTCGCACTTATAGTGCAACTAGGGCCAAGGAGAACGGAAACGCTCATTTCTCAAAAAGTAAAGGGAATCTAGCGGTCTCACTCGATCAAAAGGTGGGAAATATATAAATCTAGTGAGCTAATAAGGTTCGAAAGGAATCTAATGCATATGTATATGGAAAATGGTGCATTGGCCAGGTCGGTCAGTATGGGAACTTAGAGTGCAAATGCCGGGGAGAACGGAAGCGCTCAGATCTCGCATAGTACACAGAATCTAGTGGTCTCACTCAAATAGAAGGTAGGAAATAAATTCATCTAGTGAACGTAAAGGTTTGAAAGGTAACTAACCTACATGTGTAGAGAAAATGGTGCATCGGCCAGTCTGACCGGCATTTCGCACTTATAGTGCAAGTAGGGCCAAGGAGAACGGAAACGCTCATTTCTCAAAAAGTAAAGGGAATCTAGCGGTCTCACTCGATCAGAAGGTGGGAAATATATAAATCTAGTCAGCTAAAAAGGTTTGAAATGTATTCTACGCACATGTATAGAGAAAATGGTGCATTGGCCAGGTCGGTCAGTATCGGAACTTAAAATGCAAATGCCAGGGAGAACGGAAGCGCTCACATCTCGCATAGTACACGGAATCAAGTGGTCTCACTCAAATAGAAAGTTGGAAATATATTCATCTAGTGAACGTAAGGGTTTGAAAGGTAACTAACGCACATGTGTAGAGAAAATGGTACATCGGCCAGTCTGGCCGGCATTTCGCACTTATAGTGCAACTAGGGCCAAGGAAATCGGAAACGCTCATTTCTCAAAAAGTAGAGGGAATCTAGCGGTATCACTCGATCAGAAGGTGGGAAATATATGAATCTAGTGAGCTAATAATGTTCGAAAGGAATCTAATGCATATGTATATGGAAAATGGTGCATTGGCCAGGTCGGTCAGTATGGGAACTTAGAGTGCAAATGCCAGGGAGAACGGAAGCGTTCAGATCTCGCATAGTACACGGAATCTAGTGGTCTCACTCAAATAGAAGGTAGGAAATAAATTCATCTAGTGAACGTAATGGTGTGAAAGGTAACTAACGCACATGTGTAGAGAAAATGGTGCATCGGCCAGTCTGGCCGGCATTTCGCACTTATAGTGCAAGTAGGGCCAAGGAGAACGGAAACACTCATTTCTCAAAAAGTAAAGGGAATCTAGCGGTCTCACTCGATCAGAAGGTGGGAATTATATAAATCTAGTGAGCTTATAAGGTTCGGAAGGAATCTAATGCATATGTATATGGAAAGTGGTGCATTGGCCAGGTCGGTCAGTATGGGAACTTAGAGTGCAAATGCCTGGGAGAACGGAACCGCTCAGATCTCGCATAATACACGGAATCTAGTGGTCTCACTCAAATATAAGGTAAGAAATATATTCATCTAGTGAACGTAAGGGTTTGAAAGGTAACTAACGCACATGTGTAGAGAAAATGGTGCATTGGCCACTCTAGCCGGCATTTCGCACTCATAGTGCAGGTGGGGCCAGGGAGAACGGAAACGCTCGTTTCTCAAAAAGTTGAGGGAATCTAACGGTCTTACTTGATGAGAAGGTGGGAAATTTATGAATCTAGTCAGCTAAAAAGGTTTGAAATATATTCAATGCACATGTATAGAGAAAATGGTGCATTGGCCAGGTCGGTCAGTATCGGAACTTAAAATGCAAATGCCAGGGAGAACGGAAGCGCTCAAATCTCGCATAGTACACGGAATCAAGTGGTCTCACTCAAATAGAAAGTAGGAAATATATTCATCTAGTGAACGTAAGTGTTTGAAAGGTAACTAACGCACATGTGTAGAGAAAATGGTGCATCGGCCAGTCTGGCCGGCATTTCGCACTTATAGTGCAACTAGGGCCAAGGAGAACGGAAACGCTCATTTCTCAAAAAGTAGAGGGAATCTAGCGGTCTCACTCGATCAGAAGGTGGGAAATATATAAATCTAGTGAGCTAATAAGGTTCAAAAGAAATCTACTACATATGTATATGGAAAATGGTGCATTGGCCAGGTCGGTCAGTATGGGAACTTAGAGTGCAAATGCCTGGGAGAACGGAACCGCTCAGATCTCGCATAATACACGGAATCTAGTGGTCTCACTCAAATATAAGGTAAGAAAATATATTCATCTAGTGAACGTAAGGGTTTGAAAGGTAACTAACGCACATGTGTAGAGAAAATGGTGCATTGGCCACTCTAGCCGGCATTTCGCACTCATAGTGCAGGTGGGGCCAGGGAGAACGGAAACGCTCGTTTCTCAAAAAGTTGAGGGAATCTAACGGTCTTACTTGATGAGAAGGTGGGAAATTTATGAATCTAGTCAGCTAAAAAGGTTTGAAATATATTCAATGCACATGTATAGAGAAAATGGTGCATTGGCCAGGTCGGTCAGTATCGGAACTTAAAATGCAAATGCCAGGGAGAACGGAAGCGCTCTGATCTCGCATAGTACACGGAATCAAGTGGTCTCACTCAAATAGAAAGTAGGAAATATATTCATCTAGTGAACGTAAGTGTTTGAAAGGTAACTAACGCACATGTGTAGAGAAAATGGTGCATCGGCCAGTCTGGCCGGCATTTCGCACTTATAGTGCAACTAGGGCCAAGGAGAACGGAAACGCTCATTTCTCAAAAAGTAGAGGGAATCTAGCGGTCTCACTCGATCAGAAGGTGGGAAATATATAAATCTAGTGAGCTAATAAGGTTCAAAAGAAATCTAATACATATGTATATGGAAAATGGTGCATTGGCCAGGTCGGTCAGTATGGGAACTTAGAGTGCAAATGACCTGGACGTGGACGTGGACGTGGACGTGGACATGGACATGGACATGGACGTGGACATGGACGTGGACGTGGAAATGGACGTGGATGTGGACATGGACGTGGACGTGTCCATGTCCATGTCCACGTCCACGTCTACGTCTATGTCCACGTCCACGTTCACGTCCACGTCCATGTCCATGTCCATGTCCACGTCCACGTCCATGTCCACGTCCACGTCCATGTCCAAGTCCATGTCCCTGTCTACGTCCACGTCCACGTCCATGTCCACGTCCACGTCCTCGTCCACGTCCAGGTCCACGTCCATGTCTACGTCCACGTCCACGTCCACGTCCATGTCCACGTCCACGTCCATCTCCACGACCACGTCCACGTCCACGACCACGTCCACGTCCACGTCCACGTCCACGTCCAAGTCCATGTCCACGTCCTTGCCACGTCCACGTCCACATGCACGACCATGTCTTCGTCCACATCCACGTCCACGTCCATGTCCACGTCCATGTCCACGTCCAAGTTCTCCACGTCCACGTCCACTTCCACGTCGACGTCCACGTACATGTCCACGTCCATGTCCACGTCCACGTCCACGTCCATGTCCACGTCCACGTCCATGTCCACGTCCACGTCCATGTCCACGTCCACGTCCACGTCCACGTCAACGTCCATCTCCACGTCCAAGTCCTCCACGTCCACGTCCACGTCCATCTCCACGTCCACGTCCACGTCCACGTCCACGCCCACGTCCTTGTCCACGTCCATGTCCACGTCCATGTCTATGTCCATGTCCACGTCCATGTCCATGTCCACGTCCATGTCCACGTCCATGTCCACGTCCACGTCCATGTCCACGTCCACGTCCACGTCCATGTCCACGTCCATGTCTACGTCCATGTCCACGTCCACGTCCTTGTCCACGTCCATGTTCACGTCCACATCTTGTTCACGTCCACGTCCATGTCCACGTCCACGTCCACGTCCACGTCCACGACCATGTCCACGTCCACGTCCATGTCCACGTCCACGTCCACGTCCATGTCCAGGTCCATGTCCACAACCACGACCACGTCCACGTCCACGTCCATGTCCACGTCCACGTCACGTCCACGTCCACGTCCACGTCTATGTCCACGTCCACGTCCACGTCCATGTCCACGTCCAAGTCCTCCACGTCCACGTCCACGTCCACGTTCACGTCCATGTCCACGTCCAAGTTCTCCCCGTCCACGTCCACGTCCACGTCCTCCACGTCCACGTCGACGTCCACGTCCATGTCCACGTCCACGTCCACGTCCATGTCCACGTCCACGTCCACTCCACGTCCACTCCACGTCCACGTCCATGTCCACGTCCACGTCCACGTCCATGTCCACGTCCACGTCCACGTCCACCTCCAGGTCCACGTCCACGTCCACGTCCACGTCCACCTCCACGTCCACGTCCACGTCCACGTCCACGTCCACGTCACGTCCACGTCCACGTCCACGTCCAAGTCCACGTCCACGTCCACGTCCACGTCCACGTCTCGTCCACGTTCACGTCCAAGTCCACGTCCACGTCAACGTCCACGTCCACGTCAACGTCCACGTCCACGTCACGTCCACGTCCACCACGTCCACGTCCACGTCCACGTCCTCCACGTCCACGTCCACGTCCACGTCCACCCACGTCCACGTCTACGTCCACGTCCACGTCCACGTCCACGTCCATGTCCACGTCCACGTCCACGTCCACGTCCACGTCCACGTCCACTCCACGTCTACCTCCACGTCCACGTCCACTCCACGTCTACCTCCACGTCCATGTCCACCTCCACGTCCACGTCCATGTCCACGTCCACGTCCACGTCTACGTCCACGTCCACGTCCACGTCCACGTCCACGTCCACGTCCATGTCCACGTCCACGTCCATGTCCACGTCCAAGTTCTCCACGTCCATGTCCATGTCCACGTCCATGTCCACGTCCACGTCCATGTCCACGTCCAAGTTCTCCACGTCCACGTCCACGTCCACGTCCACGTCCACGTCCACGTCCACGTCCACGTCCACGTCCACTCCACGTCCCAGTCCACGTCCACGTCCACGTCCACGTCCACGTCCACGTCCACGTCCACGACCACGTCCACGACCACGTCCACGACCACGACCACGTCCACGTCCACGTCCACGTCCACGTCCGCGTCCTCGTCCACGTCCGCGTCCTCGTCCGCGTCCGCGTCCACGACCACGTCCACGTCCGCGTCCACGACCACGTCCGCGTCCACGTGCGCGACCACGTCCACGTCCGCGTCCACGTGCGCGTCCGCGCGTCCGCGTCCACGTCCGCGTCCACGTCCCCGTCCACGTCTACGTCCACGTCCACGTCCCCGTCCACGTCCACGTCCACGTCCCCGTCCACGTCCAGGTCCACGTCCACGTCCATGTCCACGTCCATGTCCACGTCCACGTCCACGTCCACATCCATGTCCACGTCCACGTCCACGTCCACGTCCCCGTCCCCGTCCATGTCCAGATCAACGTCCACGTCCACGTCTACGACCACGTCCACGTCCACGTCCACGTCCACGTCCATGTCCACGTCTACGTCCATGTCCACGTCCATGTCCACGTCCACGTCCATGTCCACGTCCACGTCCATGTCCACGTCCATGTCCATGTCCATGTCCACGTCCACGTCCACGTCCACGACCACGTCCATGTCATTTGCACTCGAAGTTCCCATACTGACCGACCTGGCCAATGCACCATTTTCCATATACATATGCATTAGATTCCTTTCAAACCTTTTTAGCTCACTAGATTTATATATTTCCCACCTTCTGATCGAGTGAGACCGCTAGATTCCCTCTACTTTTTGAGAAATAAGCGTTTCCGTTCTCCTTGGCCCTACTTGCACTATCAGTGCGAAATGCCGGCCTGACTGGCCGACGCACAATTTTCTCTACACATGTGAGTTAGTTACCCTTCAAACCCTTATGTTCACCAGATGAATATATTTCCTACTTTCTATTTGGGTGAGACCACTTGATTCCGTGTACTATGCGAGATCTGAGCTCTTCCGTTCTCCCTGGGATTTGCATTTTAAGTTCCGATACTGACCCACATGGCCAATGCACCATTTTCTCTATACATGTGCGTTGAATACATTTCAAACCTTTTTAGCTGACTAGATTTATATATTTCCCACCTTCTGATTGAGTGAGACGGTTAGATTCCCTCTACTTTTTGAGAAACGAGCGTTTCCGTTCTCCCTGGCCCCACCTGAACAATGAGTGCGAAATGCCGGCCAGACTGGCCGATGCACCATTTTCTCTACACATGTGCGTTAGTTACCTTTCAAACCCTTACGTTCACTAGATGAATATATTTCCTACCTTATATTTGAGTGAGACCACTAGATTCCGTGTATTATGCGAGATCTGAGCAGTTCCGTTCTCCCAGGCATTTGCACTCTAAGTTCCCATACTAACCGACCTGGCCAATGCACCACTTTCCATATACATATGCATTAGATTCCTTCCGAACCTTATTAGCTCACTAGATTTATATATTTCCCACCTTTTGATCGAGTGAGACCGCTAGATTCCCTTTACTTTTTTAGAAATGAGCGTTTCCGTTCTCCTTGGCCCTACTTGCACTATAAGTGCGAAATGCCGGCCAGACTGGCCGATGCACCATTTTCTCTACACATGTGCGTTAGTTACCTTTCAAACCCTTACGTTCACTAGATGAATTTATTTCCTACCTTCTATTTGAGTGAGACCACTAGATTCCGTGTACTATGCGAGATCTGAGCGCTTCCGTTCTCCCTGGCATTTGCACTCTAAGTTCCCATACTGACCGACCTGGCCAATGCACCATTTTCCATACACATATGCATTAGATTCCTTTCGAACCTTATTAGCTCACTAGATTTATATATTTCCCACCTACTGATCGAGTGAGACCGTTAGATTCCTTCTTCTTTTTGAGAAATGAGCGTTCCCGTTCTCCTTGGCCCTAGTTGCACTATAAGTGCGAAATGCCGGCCAGACTGGCCGATGCACCATTTTCTCTACACATGTGCGTTAGTTACCTTTCAAACCCTTACGTTCACTAGATGAATTTATTTCCTACCTTCTATTTGAGTGAGACCACTAGATTCCGTGTACTATGCGAGATCTGAGCGCTTCCGTTCTCCCTGGCATTTGCACTCTAAGTTCCCATACTGACCGACCTGGCCAATGCACCATTTTCCATACACATATGCATTAGATTCCTTTCGAACCTTATTAGCTCACTAGATTTATATATTTCCCACCTACTGATCGAGTGAGACCGTTAGATTCCTTCTTCTTTTTGAGAAATGAGCGTTCCCGTTCTCCTTGGCCCTAGTTGCACTATAAGTGCGAAATGCCGGCCAGACTGGCCGATGCACCATTTTCTCTACACATGTGCATTAGTTACCTTTCAACCCTTACGTTCACTAGATGAATATATTTCCTACCTTATATTTGAGTGAGACCACTAGATTCCGTGTATTATGCGAGATCTGAGCGGTACCGTTCTCCCAGGCATTTGCACTCTAAGTTCCCATACTGACCGACCTGGCCAATGCACCACTTTCCATATACATATGCATTAGATTCCTTCTGAACCTTATTAGCTCACTAGATTTATATATTTCCCACCTTTTGATCGACTGATCCCGCTAGATTCCCTTTACTTTCTGAGAAATGAGCGTTTCCGTTCTCCTTGGCCCTACTTGCACTCTGAGTGCGAAATGCCGGCCAGACTGGCCGATGCACAATTTTATCTACACATGTGCGTTAGTTACCTTTCAAACCCTGACGTTCACTAGATGAATATATTTCCTACCTTATATTTGAGTGAGACCACTAGATTCCGTGTATTATGCGAGATCTGAGCGGTTCTGTTCTCCCAGGCATTTGCACTGAAGTTCCCATACTGACCGACCTGGCCAATGCACCACTTTCCATATACATATACATTAGATTCCTTCCGAACCTTATTAGCTCACTAGATTTATATATTTCCAACCTTTTGATCGAGTGATCCGGCTAGATTCCCGTTACTTTCTGAGAAAAGAGCGTTTCCGTTCTCCTTGGCCCTACTTGCACTATAAGTGCGAAATGCCGGCCAGACTGGCCGATGCACAATTTTCTCTACACATGTGCATTAGTTACCTTTCAAACCCTTACGTTCACTAGATGAATATATTTCCTACCTTATATTTGAGTGAGACCACTAGATTCCGTGTATTATGCGAGATCTGAGCGGTTCTGTTCTCCCTGGCATTTGCACTCTAAGTTCCCATACTGACCGACCTGGCCAATGCACCATTTTCCATATACATATGCATTAGATTCCTTTCGAACCTTATAAACTCACTAGATTTATATACTTCCCACCTTCTAATCGAGTGAGACCGCTAGATTCCCTTTACTTTTTGAGAAATTAGCGTTTCCGTTCTCCTTGGCCCTACTTGCACTATAAGTGCGAAATGCCGGCCAGACTGGCCGATGCACCATTTTCTCTACACATGTGCGTTAGTTACCTTTCAAACCCTTACGTTCACTAGATGAATTTATTTCCTACCTTATATTTGAGTGAGACCACTAGATTCCGTGTATTATGCGAGATCTGAGCGGTTCTGTCTCCCAAGCATTTGCACTCTAAGTTCCCATACTGACCGACCTGGCCAATGCACCACTTTCCATATACATATGCATTAGATTCCTTTCGAACCTTATTAGCTCACTAGATTTATATATTTCCCACCTTCTGATCGAGTGAGACCGCTAGATTCCCTTTACTTTTTGAGAAATCAGCGTTTCCATTCTCCTTGGCCCTACTTGCACGATAAGTGCGAAATGCCGGCCAGACTGGCTGATGCACCATTTTCTCTACACATGTGCGTTGGTTACCTTTCAAACCCTTACGTTCACTAGATGAATTTATTTCCTACCTTCTATTTGAGTGAGACCACTAGATTCTGTGTACTATGCGAGATCTGAGCGCTTCCGTTCTCCCTGGCATTTGCATTTTAAGTTCCCATACTGACCGACCTGGCCAATGCACCATTTTCGATATACATATGCATTAGATTCCTTTCCAACCTTATTAGCTCACTAGATTTATATATTTCCCACCTTCTGATTGAGTGAGACCGCTAGATTCCCTTTACTTTTTGAGAAATGAGCGTTTCCGTTCTCCTTGGCCCTACTTGCACTATAAGTGCGAAATGCCGGCCAGACTGGCCGATGCACCATTTTCTCCACACATGTGCGTTAGTTAACTTTCAATCCCTTACGTTCACTAGATGAATTTATTTCCTACCTTCTATTTGAGTGAGACCACTAGATTCCGTGTACTATGCGAGATCTGAGCGGTTCCGTTCTCCCAGGCATTTGCACTCTAAGTTGCCATATTGACCGACCTGGCAAATGCACCAGTTTCCATATACATATGCATTAGATTCCTTGTGAACCTTATAAGCTGACTAGATTTATATATTTCCCACCTTCTGATCGAGTGAGACCGCTAGATTCCCTTTACTTTTTGAGAAATGAGCGTTTCCGTTCTCCTTGGCCCTACTTGCACTATAAGTGCGAAATGCCGGCCAGACTGGCCGACGCACCATTTTCTCTACACATGTGCGTTAGTTACCTTTCAAACCCTTACGTTCACTAGATGAATTTATTTCCTACCTTCCATTTGAGTGAGACCACTAGATTCCGTGTACTATGCGAGATCTGAGCGCTTCCGTTCTCCCTGGCATTTGCACTCTAAGTTCCCATACTGACCGACCTGGCCAATGCACCATTTTCCATATACATATGCATTAGATTCCTTTCAAACCTTATTAGCTCACTAGATTTATATATTTCCCACCTTATGATCGAGTGAGACCGCTAGATTCCCTTTACTTTTTGAGAAATGAGTGTTTCCGTTCTCCTTGGCCCTACTTGCACTATAAGTGCGAAATGCCGGCCAGACTGGCCGATGCACCATTTTCTCTAGACATGTGCGTTAGTTACCTTTCAAACCCTTACGTTCACTAGATGAATTTATTTCCTACCTTCTATTTGAGTGAGACCACTAGATTCCGTGTACTATGCGAGATCTGAGCACTTCCGTTCTCCCTGGTATTTGCACTCTAAGTTCCCATACTGACCGACCTGGCCAATGCACCATTTTCCATATACATATGCATTAGATTCCTTTCGAACCTTATTAGCTCACTAGATTTATATATTTCCCACCTTCTGATCGAGTGAGACCGCTAGTTTCCCTTTACTTTTTGAGAAATGAGCGTTTCCGTTCTCCTTGGCCCTACTTGCACTATAAGTGCGAAATGTCGGCCAGACTGGCCGACGCACCATTTTCTCTACACATGTGCGTTAGTTACCTTTCAAACCCTTACGTTCACTAGATGAATTTATTTCCTACCTTCTATTTGAGTGAGACCACTAGATTCCGTGTACTATGCGAGATTTGAGCGCTTCCGTTCTCCCTGGCATTTGCACTCTAAGTTTCCCATACTGACCGACCTGGCCAATGCACCATTTTCCATATACATATGCATTAGATTCCTTTCGAACCTTATTAGCTCACTAGATTTATATATTTCCCACCTTATGATCGAGTGAGACCGCTAGATTCCCTTTACTTTTTGAGAAATGAGTGTTTCCGTTCTCCTTGGCCCTACTTGCACTATAAGTGCGAAATGCCGGCCAGACTGGCCGATGCACCATTTTCTCTACACATGTGCGTTAGTTACTTTTCAAACCCTTACGTTCACTAGATGAATTTATTTCCTACCTTCTATTTGAGTGAGACCACTAGATTCCGTGTACTATGCGAGATCTGAGCACTTCCGTTCTCTGAGGCATTTGCACTCTAAGTTCCCATACTGACCGACCTGGCCAATGCACCATTTTCCATATACATATGCATTAGATTCCTTTCAAACCTTATTAGCTCACTAGATTTATATATTTCCCACCTTCTGATCGAGTGAGACCGCTAGATTCCCTTTACTTTTTGAGAAATGAGCGTTTCCGTTCTCCTTGGCCCTACTTGCACTATAAGTGCGAAATGCCGGCCAGACTGGCCGATGCACCATTTTCTCCACACATGTGCGTTAGTTAACTTTCAATCCCTTACGTTCACTAGATGAATTTATTTCCTACCTTCTATTTGAGTGAGACCACTAGATTCCGTGTACTATGCGAGATCTGAGCGGTTCCGTTCTCCCAGGCATTTGCACTCTAAGTTGCCATATTGACCGACCTGGCCAATGCACCAGTTTCCATATACATATGCATTAGATTCCTTGTGAACCTTATAAGCTGACTAGATTTATATATTTCCCACCTTTTGATCGAGTGAGACCGCTAGATTCCCTTTACTTTTTGAGAAATGAGCGTTTCCGTTCTCCTTGGCCCTACTTGCACTATAAGTGCGAAATGCCGGCCAGACTGGCCGACGCACCATTTTCTCTACACATGTGCGTTAGTTACCTTTCAAACCCTTACGTTCACTAGATGAATTTATTTCCTACCTTCCATTTGAGTGAGACCACTAGATTCCGTGTACAATGCGAGATCTGAGCGCTTCCGTTCTCCCTGGCATTTGCACTCTAAGTTCCCATACTGACCGACCTGGCCAATGCACCATTTTCCATATACATATGCATTAGATTCCTTTCAAACCTTATTAGCTCACTAGATTTATATATTTCCCACCTTATGATCGAGTGAGACCGCTAGATTCCCTTTACTTTTTGAGAAATGAGTGTTTCCGTTCTCCTTGGCCCTACTTGCACTATAAGTGCGAAATGCCGGCCAGACTGGCCGATGCACCATTTTCTCTAGACATGTGCGTTAGTTATCTTTCAAACCCTTACGTTCACTAGATGAATTTATTTCCTACCTTCTATTTGAGTGAGACCACTAGATTCCGTGTACTATGCGAGATGTGAGCACTTCCGTTCTCCCTGGTATTTGCACTCTAAGTTCCCATACTGACCGACCTGGCCAATGCACCATTTTCCATATACATATGCATTAGATTCCTTTCGAACCTTATTAGCTCACTAGATTTATATATTTCCCACCTTCTGATCGAGTGAGACCGCTAGTTTCCCTTTACTTTTTGAGAAATGAGCGTTTCCGTTCTCCTTGGCCCTACTTGCACTATAAGTGCGAAATGTCGGCCAGACTGGCCGACGCACCATTTTCTCTACACATGTGCGTTAGTTACCTTTCAAACCCTTACGTTCACTAGATGAATTTTTTTCCTACCTTCTATTTGAGTGAGACCACTAGATTCCGTGTACTATGCGAGATTTGAGCGCTTCCGTTCTCCCTGGCATTTGCACTCTAAGTTTCCCATACTGACCGACCTGGCCAATGCACCATTTTCCATATACATATGCATTAGATTCCTTTCGAACCTTATTAGCTCACTAGATTTATATATTTCCCACCTTATGATCGAGTGAGACCGCTAGATTCCCTTTACTTTTTGAGAAATGAGTGTTTCCGTTCTCCTTGGCCCTACTTGCACTAAAAGTGCGAAATGCCGGCCAGACTGGCCGATGCACCATTTTCTCTACACATGTGCGTTAGTTACTTTTCAAACCCTTACGTTCACTAGATGAATTTATTTCCTACCTTCTATTTGAGTGAGACCACTAGATTCCGTGTACTATGCGAGATCTGAGCACTTCCGTTCTCTGAGGCATTTGCACTCTAAGTTCCCATACTGACCGACCTGGCCAATGCACCATTTTCCATATACATATGCATTAGATTCCTTTCAAACCTTATTAGCTCACTAGATTTATATATTTCCCACCTTCTGATCGAGTGAGACCGCTAGATTCCCTTTACTTTTTGAGAAATGAGTGTTTCCGTTCTCCTTGGCCCTACTTGCACTATAAGTGCGAAATGCCGGCCAGACTGGCCGATGCACCATTTTCTCTAGACATGTGCGTTAGTTATCTTTCAAACCCTTACGTTCACTAGATGAATTTATTTCCTACCTTCTATTTGAGTGAGACCACTAGATTCCGTGTACTATGCGAGATGTGAGCACTTCCGTTCTCCCTGGTATTTGCACTCTAAGTTCCCATACTGACCGACCTGGCCAATGCACCATTTTCCATATACATATGCATTAGATTCCTTTCGAACCTTATTAGCTCACTAGATTTATATATTTCCCACCTTCTGATCGAGTGAGACCGCTAGTTTCCCTTTACTTTTTGAGAAATGAGCGTTTCCGTTCTCCTTGGCCCTACTTGCACTATAAGTGCGAAATGTCGGCCAGACTGGCCGACGCACCATTTTCTCTACACATGTGCGTTAGTTACCTTTCAAACCCTTACGTTCACTAGATGAATTTTTTTCCTACCTTCTATTTGAGTGAGACCACTAGATTCCGTGTACTATGCGAGATTTGAGCGCTTCCGTTCTCCCTGGCATTTGCACTCTAAGTTTCCCATACTGACCGACCTGGCCAATGCACCATTTTCCATATACATATGCATTAGATTCCTTTCGAACCTTATTAGCTCACTAGATTTATATATTTCCCACCTTATGATCGAGTGAGACCGCTAGATTCCCTTTACTTTTTGAGAAATGAGTGTTTCCGTTCTCCTTGGCCCTACTTGCACTAAAAGTGCGAAATGCCGGCCAGACTGGCCGATGCACCATTTTCTCTACACATGTGCGTTAGTTACTTTTCAAACCCTTACGTTCACTAGATGAATTTATTTCCTACCTTCTATTTGAGTGAGACCACTAGATTCCGTGTACTATGCGAGATCTGAGCACTTCCGTTCTCTGAGGCATTTGCACTCTAAGTTCCCATACTGACCGACCTGGCCAATGCACCATTTTCCATATACATATGCATTAGATTCCTTTCAAACCTTATTAGCTCACTAGATTTATATATTTCCCACCTTCTGATCGAGTGAGACCGCTAGATTCCCTTTACTTTTTGAGAAATGAGCGTTTCCGTTCTCCTTGGCCCTACTTGCACTATAAGTGCGAAATGCCGGCCAGACTGGCCGATGCACCATTTTCTCTACACATGTGTGTTAGTTACCTTTCAAACCCTTACGTTCTTTAGATGATTTTATTTCCTACCTTCTATTTGAGCGAGACCACTAGATTCCGTGTACTATGTGAAATAAATGACCAGGAATGAAATGACTAAGTCAGAGTTGGGTACAAATACAACCCTAGAAAGCTGTACCCCATATGTGCTACCCCACTATAGCCTACAAACATGCATCAGCAATGATACTCTGACACACCCCCATAGGCAAAGTGGGGGAGAACAAGGGGTCACAAGACCAGTCAACCAAAGCAAAGCAAAGCAAGCTCAGGGTGGATCACAAAGTCACCACACAGTCCGAGCACAAGAGCAGGGCCAGAGGCCAGTTCACATGCAGGAGTACAGACATATATATAAAACTAGACAAGCAAGAGCAGGTATATATATGTCACAGAACAAGTAAAGTCAAGAAGAGAGCAAGTGAGGCAAGACAGGCACAAGACCCAGCTGGGTGCAGAAGCGCTGATGGTCACAAGGCGCGAGTGCCTTGGTGAACACATCGGCAGTGTTGACCTCAGAGGCCACGTACGCAAGTCACAACTGACCACGCGGCTGCAGCTCACGAGCAAGGAAGTAGCGGAGAGCAATGTGCTTCGTTCTGTGCTCCAAGCGCTGCTCTCGATACAAGGCCAGCATGGCCTTGTTGTCTACGTACAGCACTGGAGGAGAACGAGGCGGCTCTCCAAGGTCAGTCAGCAGGTAGGTGAGCCAGCGAAGCTCCTGTGCAGCCATGGCCCCAGCGTAGATCTCAGCCTCACAACTGGAGCTGAGAACCGAAGACGAGCGAGTAGCCCGCCACGAGACAGAGCCGGAACCAAGACTGAAGGTGTAACCCTGTGACGACCGCTGCGTAGCTTGGTCGTCAGCCCAAGAAGCGTCCGCGTGGCCGGTAAGGACCACTGGACTCCGCCCTCCAAGCACTAGCCCCATGCCCGACGTACTGCACAGGTAGCGCAACACCCTCTTCGCTGCAGCCATGTGCTCTGGTCGGTGTCTCCCAGGAGCAACATAGCGTGCAAGAATGCTCAGAGGGTATGCAAGGTCAGGTCGTGTGCAGGTCATCAGGTACATGAGGCAGCCAACAAGCTCTGGGTACAGGCCACTCGACTCTACGGACTCATCCGAAGGCAGAGCTGAGAGAGAGTGACGAGTAGACAGAGGAGTGGCCTGAGGCGAGGAGTACGTGAAGCCGAAGCGCTGAAGGACCTGCTGCACCATGTGTGACTGAGTCAAGGTAATGGTGCGGCGTGCTCTGTCCCGAGTGATCTGCAAGCCAAGGTAGCTGCGCAGTTCACCCAGGTCTGTGCACGTGTGTCTCGTCAGCAGCTCGGACTTCACGTAGGCGAGTCCAGCAGTGTCCGCTGTGGCAAAGACCAAGTCGTCGACGTACACGAGGATGTAGAACGGCGGCAGAGAAGTGTCGGTGCGCAGAAACAGCGACGGGTCAGCAGTAGAAGGAGCAAACCCAAGAGCCGCAAGCGTAGTCCTCAGTGTGTCGTGCCACTCACGTGGTGCCTGGCGGAGACCGTAGACTGGCCGTCGGAGGCTCTACTGGGTGCCAGGAGGAAAAGTCCCAGTGAAGCCAGGTGGACGGCGCAGCCAGATCTCCTCGTGCAGACTACCCTGCAGGAACGCAGTGCTGAAGTCGAGAGAGTGAAGCTCGTAGTCGCGCTGAGCGGCTATGTGCAGCAGCACCCGAAGAGTGGTCATCTTCGGGGTGGGAGAGAAGGTCTGAAAGTAGTCAACTCCCTGCCGCTGGCTGAAGCCACGAGCAACGTACCGCGCCTTGAAGACAGGTGGAGAGCCCGGCGGCCGCTTCACCCGGAAGATCCACATGCCACTGACGATGTTCGCCCCAGGAGGGGGAACTGCGTCAACGTAGGTGCCTGTGGACTTCTAGGAAGCCATCTCTGCATCCATAGCTGCCTACCACTGAGAGGAGTAGGGACCCTCTACGGCCTCCGCGTAAGAGCGCGGAGTCGGGATGTCTAGTGCATCCGGGTCTCCCTCAGGAGCAAGCAGTACAGACGCGAGATGAGGTGAAGCAGCAGCCAGACACTGTAACTCCTCCTGCCTGTCCTCTAGGACGTCCGTGCCAAGAGCACACTCACCCCCGACGGACGGAGGACAGACAGACGCAGACTCAGCAACAAGACTAGCAGCGTAGTCTAGACAACAGCGAGCAGCAAAGTCGACGAGCTCAGCGACAAGAGCAGACGCAGCAGTGGACTCAAACGAGGGGTCAGTGACGACAGTAGCAAGCAGACGCGGGACAGTAGGACTGGCAGCACGAAGACAGTCCGACCCAGGGTCGGCAAGCGCAGGAAGAGAGGACTCAGGCGGAGAAGGTAAAGGGGCACGCAGAGGAGCAGTGGACGGACGCAGAGATATCCGGTGCGTGCCAGGGACAGGAGGAGGACGCTGACGCGAACCGCGACCACTAGCGCGAGCAGCACGAACAGGCGACGCGGGACGAGACGCAGGCTCACGACGCTCAGTAAGACCTCCAGTAGGACCAGTGTAAGGAGAGGGAGCAGGCAGAGGAGAGGAAGGCTCCAAGAGTGACTGCGACTGAACAGGCTGTGGACCCTCTACCGGAGGAGAAAGACCAAGAACCTGCTGCAGGAGCGGAACGAAGTACGGCCGAGGCCGCGCGGCAGCTCCAGACTCAGTAGGGACAGCACCAGCACCCTCAGCGACAGTACCAGCGCCACCAACACCTCCAGCGGCAGGACCTCCAGCAGTACCAGCAGCAGAACCACCGAGAGGACAGACAGCAGTGGTCTCAGCACCAACACCCTCAGCAGCTCCAGCTCCAGGATGACCCGCAGGCCCAGCAGCTCCGGGACCGGCAGCACCAGCACCCTCGACGGTCGAAGAAGCTCCAGGCACGCCTCCAGCGGCGAGCAAACCACTCGCGCAGCTCCTGGGGAGAGAGGGGCTCCCGTCGAGACGCAGCAGCAGGAGAAACCCCAGGCTCAGCACCCCCAGGCTCAGCAGCTCCAGACTCAGCACCCCCAGGCTCAGCAGCTCCAGGCACAGCACCCCCCGGCGCAGCACCCTCCGCAGTAGTATCCCCAGGCCCAGCACCCCCAGGCTCAGCACCCCCAGTAGCAGCACCTCCAGGCCCGGCACCCCCGCGCACAGCACCCCCAGAGTCAGCACCCCCAGGCTCAGCACCCGCAGCAGCACCAGAGTCACCAGTAACCTCGACCGGGTCAACCGCGTCTACCTGGGACACACCTGAGGGGGCAGGAACATGAGGGGGGAGGGGGTCTACCGGGGGGGAAACCGGCACAAGGAAGTCCGGCAAAGGGGGGAGGGAAGGAGTGCGGTAGGGGAAGAGGCGGTAGAAGGGGACTGACTCGTCGAACGTGACGTCCTGGGAGGACAGAACACGACGAGAGGAGGGGTGGTAAAACTGCCACCCTGGAGCGTCAGTGGGGAAGCCAAGGAAGACACAGGGAGCAGCACGAGGGGACAGCTTGTCCGCAGACAAGTCGCGGACAAACGCCCGAGATCCCCAGACACGGAACGTTGACGCATCGCCAACCTTCCCCGTCCACAGCAAGACTGGGGACATCGCGGGCCGAGAGACCCTGGGGTGAAGGTTGAGCTGATGCGCCGCGTACCGAACCGCAAGCGGCCACAGAAAATGGGGGGCAGCCGCATGCATCATGGACGTCAGGCGACATCCATGACCATGCCAATGCGGCGCTCAGCAATCCCATTTTGCTGTGGAGAGTCCGGAAGCGTGAAGGTCTGGCGGATCCCCCGTGCACGACAGTAGTCTCGCAGAAGGCGCGAAGAGAACTCTCCGCCTCTGTCCGAAAGCAGACGCAGAACAGGAAAGTCCGAGCCGAAGCTCTTCCTGAGCTGGAGACGAGCCTCGCGGATCCAGTCGATCAGCACCTCAGTGACAGCACCACCTGACCAGACGCAGGGACAGGAGGAGACTCAACGGTCAGGGTGTAGAGACTCGACCCCGGCCGACGCGAGAACGTGGCCAGGTGTCGGCCTGTGCGTGCCTCCGTGCAGTGGGTCACCCGCTGACTCGCAGGAGTGAACTGGTGAACCCCCACATCCTGCAGGTCCGCGCCACTCACCAAGTTCGTAGAGAACGAGGGAAGGTACAGACCAGACAGGGTGCCCGAAGGGGCAGCCGGACACGGGAGGACAGTGGAGAAGTGAGACAGGACAGGACCCCCAGAGGGGTCAGCCAGGGAGACGGCAACCGGCCGGCCAAGCGGCGTAAGGGTGGTGCGGTCTCGAAAGAAGGAGCAAGAAGCCCCAGAGTCAAGTGTGAAAGTAAGGGAGGACGAGGGCGACGCAGTAACTGAGGGCGCAGTCTCACCAGTACCTGAGAGCGCAGACGCACTGGCACCTAGAGCAGCAGCATCACAAGCACCTAGCGCAGCAGTACCAATGCCTGGGTCGGGCTGGAAACACCGGTAACCCTCAGTCTCCTCAGTAATAGTCACAGCATACATAGTAGCAAGGATAGCATCAAAATCAAGATCAAAGATCGCTACACCAGCCCTAAGAAGCTCATCCCAGCGAGGGATCTCACTAGCCCCGGGGAACTGCTGACGCCAAGCGTCCGTCAGGCGGCCAAAGCAGCGCTGGGTGGGGTGGTCACCCCCACACTGCTCACCCGCGCGGTCGCCGGAACGAAGGACGTAGGTGCAAGGACCAGTACCCCCACCCCTCTGACGCTGAGTGTACCACTCACGAAGCTGCTGAGGCGGAGGGATGTCCCGCGAACGCTGCTGCTGCTGCTGCTTCTGCGAGCGCTGGCCACCACCACCGCCGCTCCGCTGCTGGGTACCACCCCGACCAGCTCCACCTCCTCCACCACCACCGCCTCCTCCGCTGCCTCCTCCGCCGCCTCCACCTCCGCCGCTGCCACCACCACCACCGCTGCCACCACCACCGCCGCCTCCGCCGCTGCTGCCACCACCACCACCACCCCCGCCACTACTCCCGCCGCCACCCCCCACTCCCTCCGCCGCCTCCGCCGCCACCGCCACCGCCCCCTCCAGCTCCACCCGCGCCCTTGCCCCCCTTGCCCTTGCCAGAGCGACGTCTCCCACTAGGGGCAGACGCCGCGCCGACCGATTCAAGACCAAGCAGGTCGGCAGCAGCAGCAGAGGCAACAGAGGGCAGCAAGGGGGAAGGAGAGCACCCCTCAAAGATGGGGGTGCGAGGGTCTCCACGAGAAGCTCCTACAGCGACTATGCTCTTCTCCGCTGCGAGGAGGGCCTTCTCGAGGACGTCGACGGTGAGGGTGGTGGGACAGACTGCGAGAAAGTGGTCCCTGACTACGCGAAGGGAGTCAGGGAGGCGTGCGACTACGTAGCAGAGAGTGATGTACATGGGGGGGGGGGTTCTTAGCGCAGAACTCAGCAGGAAGGGCGGCGCGGTAGCGAGTGTCACTAGTGCGGAGGTGCGTAATGAGGTCAGCGACAGTGGGAAAGGTAGAGAGGTCAGGAAAGAGGTAGGGAAGCATGAGACGGCTCAGTGCAGCAGTGGAAGGGGAGGAGTAGCGCGCAACTACAGCTTCGTACAAGGTCTGAGCACTCTTGTACTGACCCAAGTGCGCGCGCTCAGAGGTAGGGAGGTGGCGACGCACAGCAAGACGTGCAGCAGCATCGCGGGTGGCCCACTGAGAGCGCACAGTGGGATCAGCATCGGCAGCAGGAGCTGGAGAGGCGCCAGAGGTAAGGTCAAAGAGAGAGAGGCCGTCTGCCCTATCGCACTGTAAAAACAACTGCAGGTCGTCTACCCAGACCTCAAAGTCAATGGCGCGACCCTCAGCGTCAAAAGCCAGGACACTAGGGGTAGCCATGACGACGACAGCGAAGCAGTGCAAGCAGTAGGGGAAGAGCACGCAGTGACAGTGGGACTGTGCTCACCAGGCAGGGCAGGCCGGGCAACTCTGCAGAAGGGCGGCTCGGCTGCTGGGCGGCTCGGCTCCCGGGCGGCTCGGCGGCAGGGCAGCTCTGGTGCAGGGCGGCTCGGCTCCCGGGCGGCTCGGCGGCAGGGCGGCTCGGGTGCAGGGCGGCTCGGCTCCCGGGCGGCTCGGCGGCAGGGCAACTCTGGTGCAGGGCGGCTCGGCTCCCGGGCGGCTCGGCGGCAGGGCGGCTCGGGTGCAGGGCGGCTCGGCTCCCGGGCGGCTCGGCGGCAGGGCGGCTCGGCTGCACTGCTGCTCAGCTGCTGCAGGTGGGCGGCTCGGCTGCTGCAGGTAGGGTGGCGGGGCCGCGAGATGAGGGGCAGCGGGGCCGAAGTAGCAGGGCCGGCAGGTGCAGCGGCGGGGACGGCGGGGCCGCGGATGGTGGAGCGGCGGGGCCGGCAGAGAGGGCGGCGGAGCCGCGGCTGAGCAGGCGGCGGGGCCGGCGGCGTAGCGGGCGGCGGGGCCGGCGGCGTAGCGGGCGGCGGGGCCGTGTCGTAGTCGGCGGCTGGGCCGCGTCGTAGCGGGCGGCGAGGCCGCGTCAGAGCAGGCGGCGGGGCCGCGTCAGAGGTGGCGGCGGGGCCGCGTCAGATCAGGCGGCGGGGCCGCGTCAGAGGTGGCGGCGGCACCGCGTCAGATCAGGCAGCGGGGCCGCGTAAGAGGTGGCGGCGGGGCCGCATTAGAGAAGGCGGCGGGGCCGCGTCGTAGCGGGCGGCGGGGCCGCGTTAGAGTAGGCGGCAGGGCCGCGTCAGAGCAGGCGGCAGGGCCGCGTCGAGCAGGTGGCGGGGCCGCTGCGTAGCTGGCGGCGGGGCCGCGATCGGGCGGCGATGCCGCGACGTGGCGGCGGGGCCGCGATCTGGTGGCGGGGCCGCGATCAGAAGGGGTGGCGGGGCCGCGTCTGAGGGACGGCGGGGCCACGAGGGAAAGGGCGACTCGAGGGGTCGCTAAAAAAAAAAAGGTGCGCGCCTCGGGGCGCGCTTCGGTAGGCCCTAGGCAACGTTCCCACAGGGAACTCGCTCTATACCATGTGAAATAAATGACCAGGAATGAAATGACTAAGTCAGAGTTGGGTACAAATACAACCCTAGAAAGCTGTACCCCATATGTGCTACCCCACTATAGCCTACAAACATGCATCAGCAATAATACTCTGACATACTATGTGAGATCTGAGCGCTTCCTTTCTCCCTAGCATTTGTACTCTAAGTTCCCATACTGACCGACCTGGCCAATGCACCATTTTCCATATACATATGCATTAGATTCCTTTCGAACCTTATTAGCTCACTAGATTTATATATTTCCCACCTTCTGATCGAGTGAGACAGCTAGATTCCCTTTACTTTTTGAGAAATGAGCGTTTCCGTTCTCCTTGGCCCTACTTGCACTATAAGTGCGAAATGCCGGCCAGACTGGCTGATGCACCATTTTCTCTACACATGTGCGTTAGTTACCTTTCAAACCCTTACGTTCACTAGATGAATTTATTTCCTTCCTTCTATTTGAGTGAGACCACTAGATTCCGTGTACTATGCGAGATCTGAGCGCTTCCTTTCTCCCTGGCATTTGCACTCTAAGTTCCCATACTGACCGACCTGGCCAATGCACCATTTTCCATATACATATGCATTAGATTCCTTTCGAACCTTATTAGCTCACTAGATTTATATATTTCCCACCTTTTGATCGAGTGAGACCGCTAGATTCCCTTTACTTTTTGAGAAATGAGCGTTTCCGTTCTCCTTCGCCCTACTTGCACTATAAGTGCGAAATGCCGGCCAGACTGGCCGATGCACCATTTTCTCTACACATGTGCGTTAGTTACCATTCAAACCCTTACGTTCACTAGATGAATTTATTTCCTACCTTATATTTGAGTGAGACCACTAGATTCCGTGTACTATGCGAGATCTGAGCAGTTCCGTTCTCCCAGGCATTTGCACTCTAAGTTCCCATACTGACCGACCTGGCCAATGCACCACTTTCTATATACATATGCATTAGATTCCTTCTGAACCTTATAAGCTCACTAGATTTATATATTTCCCACCTTCTAATCGAGTGAGACTGCTAGATTCCCTTTACTTTTTGAGAAATGAGCGTTTCCGTTCTCCTTGGCCCTAGTTGCACTATAAGTGCGAAATGCCGGCCAGACTGGCTGATGCACCATTTTCTCTACACATGTGCGTTAGATACCTTTCAAACCCTTACGTTCACTAGATGAATTTATTTCCTACCTTCTATTTAAGTGAGACCACTAGAAATGAGCGCTTTCGTTCTCCCTAGCATTTGCATTTGAAGTTCCGATACTGACCGACCTGCCCAATGCACCATTTTCTCTATACATATGCGCTGAATACATTTCTAACCTTTTTAGCTGACTAGATTTATATATTTCCCACCTTCTGATCGAGTGAGACCGTTAGATTCCCTCTACTTTTTGAGAAACGAGCGTTTCCGTTCTCCCTGGCCCCACCTGCACTATGAGTGCGAACTGCTGGCCAGATTGGCCGATGCACCAAGGGCATAGCGTGTGCAAAATAAAAAGAACAAGGGCCTAGCGTGTGCAAAATAAAAAGAACAAGGGCCTAGTGTGTGCAAAATTGCAAGAACAAGGGCCTAGCGTGTGCAATATTGCAAGAACAAGGGCCTAGCGAGTGCAAAATAGCAAGAGCAAGGGCCTAGCGTATGCAAAAAATCAAGAACAGGGGCCTAGCGTTCGCGAAATTGCAAGAACAAGGGCCTAGCGTGTGCAAAATGAAAACAACAAGGGTCTAGCATGTGCAAAATTGCAAGAACAAGGGCCTAGCGTGTGCAAAATAAAAAGAACAAGGGCATAGCGTGTGCAAAATAGCAAGAACAAGGGCCTAGCGTGTGCAAAATAAAAAGAACAAGGGCCTAGCGTGTGCAAAATAAAAAGAACAAGGGCCTAGCATTTGCAAAATTGCAAGAACAAGGGCCTAGCATGTGCAAAATTGCAAGGACAAGGGCTTAGCGAGTGCAAAATAGCAAGCAAGGGCCTAGCGTGTGCAAAAACTCAAGAACAAGGGCCTAGCGTTCGCGAAATAGCAAGAACAAGGGCCTAGCGTGTGCAAAATAAAAAGAACAAGGGTCTAGCATGTGCAAAATTGCAAGAACAAGGGCCTAGCGTGTGCAAAATAAAAAGAACAAGGGCATAGCGTGTGCAAAATAGCAAGAACAAGGGCCTAGCGTGTGCAAAATAAAAAGAGCAAGGGCCTAGCGTGTGCAAAATAGCAAGAACAAGGGCCTAGCGTGTGCAAATTTGCAAGAACAAGGGCCTAGCGTGTGCAGAATTGCAAGAACAAGGGCCTAGCGAGTGCAAAATAGCAAGAGCAAGGGCCTAGCGCGTGCAAAAAATCAAGAACAAGGGCCTAGCATTCGCGAAATAGCAAGAACAAGGGCCTAGCGTGTGCAAAATAAAAAGAACAAGGGTCTAGCATGTGCAAAATTGCAAGAACAAGGGCCTAGCGTGTGCAAAATACAAGAACAAGGGCATAGCGTGTGCAAAATAGCAAGAACAAGGGCCTAGCATGTGCAAAATATAGGATCAAGGGCCTAGCGTGTGCAAAATAAAAAGAACAAGGGCCTAGCGTGTGCAAAATTGCAAGAGCAAGGGCCTAGCGTGTGCAAAATAAAAAGAACAAGGGTCTAGTATGTGCAAAATTGCAACAACAAGGGCCTAGCGTGTGCAAAATGAAAAGAACAAGGGCATAGCGTGTGCAAAATAGCAAGAACAAGGGCCTAGCATGTGCAAAATAAAAAGAACAAGGGCCTAGCGTGTGCAAAATAGCAAGAACAAGGGCCTAGCGTGTGCAAAAAAGCAAGAACAAGGGCCTAGCGTGTGCAGAATTGCAAGAACAAGGGCCTAGCGAGTGCAAAATAGCAAGAGCAAGGGCCTAGCGTGTGCAAAAAATCAAGAACAAGGGCCTAGCATTCGCGAAATAGCAAGAACAAGGGCCTAGTGTGTTCAGATTAAAAAAAACAAGGGCATAGTGTGTGCAACGTAGCAAGAACAAGGGCCTAGCATGTGCAAAATAAAAAGAACAAGGGCCTAGCGTGTGCAAAATAAAAAGAACAAGGGCCTAGCGTGTGCAAAATTGCAAGAACAAGGGCCTAGCGTGTGCAAAGTTGCAAGAACAAGGGCCTAGCGTGTGCAAAAAATCAAGAACAAGGGCCTAGCGTTCGCGAAATAGCAAGAGCAAGGGCCTAGCGTGTGCAAAATAAAAAGAACAAGGGTCTAGCATGTGCAAAATAGCAAGAACAAGGGCCTAGCGTGTGCAAAATAAAAAGAACAAGGGCATAACGTGTGCAAAATAGCAAGAACAAGGGCCTAGCGTTCGCGAAATAGCAAGAACACGGGCCTAGCATGTGCATAATAAAAAGAACAAGGGTCTAGCATGTGCAAAATTGCAAGAACAAGGGCCTAGCGTGTTCAAAATAAATAGAACAAGGGCATGGCATGTGCAAAATAGCAAGAACAAGGGCCTAGCGTGTGCAAAAAAAAAAGAACAAGGGTCTAGCATATGCAAAATTGCAAGAACAAGGGCCTAGTGTGTACAAAATAAAAAGATCAAGGGCATAGCGTGTGCAAGATTGCAAGAACAAGGGCCTATCTTGTGCAAAATAAAAAGAACACGGGCCTAGCGAGTGCAAAATTGCAAGAACAAGGACCTAGCGTGTGCAAAATTGCAAGAACAAGGGCCTAGCGAGTGCAAAATAAAAAGAGCAAGGGCCTAGCGTGTGCAAAAAATCAAGAACAAGGGCCTAGCGTTCGCGAAATAGCAAGAACAAGGGCCTAGCGTGTGCAAAATAAAAAGGACAAGGGTCTAGCTTGTGCAAAGTTGCAAGAACAAGGACCTAGCGTGTGCACAATAAAA